ACTCAAAAGCGGTTTCATGGCCAGGTGTGGGCTACTCCATTATTTCTTCATCAATTAAGCTGGTAAAAGGTCTGGAGTTGATTCTAAGTGTGGTATTTGCATTTGGAATCTATTGCTGTAAACCTACATCATACTTTCAAAGGAGAAGTCCATGCAAGTGAAATAGGCCATGGTAAGGCTTTAAAAACTAAACAAATCCATCAGAGAGATAGAGGCAACATTTAGGAGTGGCCAAATGAACAGTTTTGTACATTCTGAGGAGCTGGTGAGCTCAGCAACATAGAAAGACATTGACGTTCACGGAAGACAACAGTGGTGGATGATCACAGGATCCTCTCTATGGTAAAGAAAAACCCATTTACAACATCCAGACAAGTGAAGGACACTCTCCAGGAGGTGGGCGTATCATTGTCAAAGTCTACAATCAAGAGAAGACTTCACGAGAGCAAATACAGAGGGTCCACCCCAAGGTGCAAACCATTCAAAAGCCTGAAGAATAGAAAAGTCAGATTAGACTTTGCCAAAAAACATCTAAAAAAAGCCAGACCAGTTTTGGAAAAGCATTCTTTGGACGAATGAAACTAAGATTAATCTGTACCAGAATGACGGGAAGAAAAAAAGTGTGGAGAAGGCTTGGAACAGCTCATGATCCAAAGCACACAACGTCATCTGTAAAACATGGTGGAGGCAGTGTGATGGCATGGGCATGCATGGCTTCCAGTGGTACTGGGTCATTGGTGTTTATTGATGATGTGGCAGAAGATAGAAGCAGCCGGATAAATTCTGCATTGTTTAGAAATATATGCTGCCAGCCCAGATTCAGCCAAATGCAGTAAAGTTGATTGGATGGCGCTTCACAGTACAGATGGACAATGATCCAAAACACACTGCAAAAGCAATCCAGGAGCTTTTGAAGGAAAAGAAGTGGAATATCCTGCAATGGCCAAGTCAATCACCTGATCTCAACCCAATTGAGCATGCATTTCACTTGCTGAAGGCAAAACTAGTCAAGTCCAGTCCAGTGCTATCATATAACTGGTGTGGCGGTGATCAGGGACACTAATTGGTGACAGATTCCAGTATATAAAAAATAAATAAGAATAATTTAATTTAATTCACACTGTGACCATTGCAATACAATGTTACCATAGTAAAATTCTACTACCCTGGCCAAATGATCAGGGTTTTTTTTTTTAACACATTATTATTTCATTAAAATTAGCAATCATTTTTGCTGAATTAAACCGATTCATTAAGTCTTTTGTGATTAGCTGTGATAGGGCAAAGCTCATCACATGGTACATATGGGCTGTGATTGACCATGTGACCAATCACAGCTAACAAACACAATTGTATACAAGGATGGTATGAAAGAAAGCCATCCATTGCATACAATTGTCATGTGATCTGCTGTGATTGGTCACAGCGGTAACATGACACTGGCAGCGGGCCGGTGCAGTGATCTGTCATTGGATGTGTCCCATGGACACAGCCGGTGACAGATCGCCTCGTGGCCGCGTAAGTGGCACCTTCTGGCAGGACGTCATATGACTCCCACTCAAAAGGAGGCGTGTCCCACCCAGCCGTCAGTCTGCAGTAGGCTGGGTGGGAAGGTGTTAAGATGCCAGCGCCAGAGAGAGGGGACAGCCGGTGAAACTGGCAGCAGTGAGGTCAGTGCTGGATTTAGGCTTTCTACCTCATCCCTTTAAAACTGAACATATTAATTACACAGGTTCTGGGGCAAGTTTACTGCAGATAGGGCACTGAGTTTAATTACCACCTTAATCAGCCCACAGAACCTGTGTAATTAATATGTTCAGGTTTAACCACTTGCTGTCCGGCTGCTGTATATAAACGGCCGGACGGTGGCAGTCCAGGGGCGTGTTGCCGTTCATAAACAGTGCCCACATTTTCAAGCTGTGCGCGCTTCCTGGGAGCACACAGCACCGCGATCCGGTGCCCGCTGTGCTTTCCAGACACAGTGGACACCGATCGTCGTACGGGACCTCTGTGCCAGGTCCCGATCATGTGATCACTGATTAGCCAATGCACTTTGACACACTCTCACATGCAGAGTAGTAAGCAAGATGTCACTTCTGACATCATTGCTTACTACGTGTGAAATCTGTGTATGATCACAGAGGTCACATGGTACAAGGCTATTCACAACAGCCTTGTACCATGTGACAAGCTGTGACCAATCACAGCATTTCTCAATGGCTGCAAGAATGCAGCCAGAGAGAAGGAAAAATGATTGCTTTTACATCCTTTATGGGTGTAAAAGCAATCAGTGGTAAAAAAAAAAAAATCATCATCACCCCCCACAAGTAGTACAGTGTCACCATGGTGACACTGTACTGCTAGGGTGACTCTATGTTAAAAATAATAATATAAAAAAAAAAAAAATTGTAAAAAATGTTTTTTTTAATTTTTTGGTTATAAACTAATTTGGATTATTTTTTTTTTACTACAAAGATAACTGAATACATTTTGGCCAAGATGTAAGATGAAATATTATTTATTTGCAAAATTTTATAAGAAAAACTTTTTTCAAAATGTTTGGACTTTTTCATTTATATAGCAAAAAAATAAATATCCCAGTGGTGAATAAATACCACCAAAATAAAGCTTCATCTGTCTAAAAAAAATGCTAAAAAATTCATATGGGTACAGTGTTGCATGACTGCGCAATTGTCATTCAAAGTGCGATCCCTGAAAAAACCTCTCTCTTTAAAGAAGCCCATCATGCTTCTTACTAGTAAACTTCCTTTTATTTTCAGCTCATCCTCCCCTACAACTATTACCTTTTGTATCACTCAACCCTTCCTCTTAGATTGTAAGCTCTACCAAGCAGGGCCCTCTGTTTCCTCTCGTACCAAATTGTATTGTAACTGTTATGTCTACCTTCATTTTGTAAAGAGCTGTACAAACTGTTGGCGCTATATAAATCCTGTATAATAATAGCTGCTGACTTATTTTTTTTACATTTTGACAGGAACTCCACTTTAAGGCTGCAATCACAAACAAGATACAAGCAAAATCAGGCCATGTTTGTGTATGCGTTTTTCACCAAGCACACTGTGCAGTCCTTGGATTTGAATGGACTTGCCCTAAAAGTCAAAGTAGTTTTTCAAGCATTGAGCTTCACGCGTATTTTGAGGCACTTGCTGAGTGTTTTTCTGTGTGTGTCTGCTTACAACATATGGAGTGTCATTAACCTCTTCCCTACCGTGCTATAGCCAAAAGACGGCTACAGTGCGGTTGTCTAGTTCTGGGATGACGTCATTCCAGAACACGCCCCCGGTGATCGCTGTGTCTGTAGGACACAGCTGATCACGTGATAGGTAAACAGCCAAACACAGCGGTCTTTTACCATGTGATCAGCTGTGTCCAATGACACAGCAGATCACCAGGTAAATACAGCTGCCGGTTATTGGCTGCACTTTCCTCACGTTGTCAGAGCATGAGGAAAGTACTGCTGATAACCGGCAAATGTTAGAGAAGTGATCGGCACTGATCATCAGTGCCCTAATGACAAGTGCTACCTATCTGTGCCACCTCATCAACGCACATCAGTGAAGGAGAAAAATTAGCTGTTTGCAAAATGTTATAATGGAAACAAAGAAAACCTTTTTTTTTGCTCTTTTCTTGTTTATAGCGCAAAAAATATGAAACACCCAGTGGCAATTAAATTCCACCAAAAGAAAGCTCTATTTGTGTGAAAAAAATGATAAAAATTTCATATGGGTACAGTGTTGCATGACCGCGCAATTGTCACTCAAAGTGCAACAGTGCTGAAAGCTGAAAATTGGCCTGGGCAGGAAGGGGGTATAAGTGCCCCGGTAGGCAAGTGATTAACAAGGACGGATGCTACAAGCACAACATACATTTTTTTCACGCATTCACGTCTGAATGGAGCCTCACGCTGGACTGAACAGGCAGTACTGTTGTTCTAACAATTTCCAACTGTAATGATAATGTAACAATAGGTGGAGGAGAATAGGGCCCCTTGGTGGGTATGGCCTGTCCATGACAGGTAGGCCTCGCACGGAGGCAGTTACTATGAAGGCTGCAGAGTCAGTGAAGGAATCAGGAAGGTGGAATTAATGGAATGAGGACAGTAATCCACCCGAGGGATGGAAGGCTACCTCAATGTATTATATGTGAGCGATAAACGAGCGCTGGACTAGATCTAATAAGTGAAATCCAATCTCACTCCCCCAGCCCGGTCCTTACCTCAGCCTCCCGCTTCGCTCAGCCCGGAAACACAACGCAATGATTCAAACTAAGCCGCCAGCATTGCTCCCCCAATGGGGTGCAGCCAGCGAGATCACATGTCCACATCCGCCGTCCTACTCCGCTAGCCAACAGGAACTGCCTCGTCTCACAAGGCGGCCATATTGCGGATGGCAAAACCGTGTGAAGCGTTAATAACTGTCTACACAGCATAGATTCGCCGTTAGTCTCTATATTCTGCCAATACTGTGCGGCCACAGAAGTCACTTGACCACCTCCGCTAAACTCCCTAGCGAGCCAATAAAAAAACCCCTCAGCTTTCGAGGCGGTCATATTGTGGATGGCAAATGTGAGTTATAGTATCTGTGTATGTACCGCACTATCCCCCCTCCCTTTTGTAACCCGACTGACCAAAAGCCAATAACGTCGTATTCTTCCTAGCACTGTTTAATAAAGTATGCGGGCTCGAAACGATACGGCATAATCTATTAGGTATGTTACAATTTTAATACAGAAGCGAGATATTACTGAATTGCAATTATTAGAGCTTTTTGTGAGTCTTTCCAATCTATAAAAATAGCTGACAAGACGCAATGATTACAGAAGCAAACTAGCCGAAACATCAGCACACGCGCAGTGGCGAAAAGTCAGCGCGTGCGCAGTGGCTGCACTTTTCCACGGCGTTCGGTTGCCTAGGAGATGAGCTTGTACATAGCGACAGAGAGAGCGTACGCTGTACACTGCGGACACGGAGAGCGGTCATCATGATTCCCCCGGCAGATTCCCTGCTCAAGTACGACAACCCGGCACTCATCAGTAAGAACACCGAGAGGAAGTCCCCCAAAGTAAGTGGCTCTACCAGCTCACCAACAACATGTCCTTGTTTTATTACAGAGCCATGCTAAGACATTCAAATTAAAGGGGCACAATCACTTACTGCCAAGGTTCGTTCACACCAGCAGTTATTAATAACCCACACAGTACTTTGTGTGTGGTTGTCTTTATTAAGAGCAACATGGATGTCTTTTGTTTCTAAAAATGCTAGTTGCCTGGCTGTTGGGGCCATATTAGATGGGTGATTCTGCTGCTAATGGAGTCACTCCCTTGTTGGCTCACCAAACTGCGGGCCTCATCCATCTTGCTACAAGATTTGATATGGCCTGAATCCATGGTCTGTGCCGTATTCTCAGACTCAGCGCACGGACTGAGGATTCCAATCAGATGGTCTCTGCTTCTGATGGGGACCCTGATGTAATGGGGGGGGAGATGGGGATTCTTCTGGTGTGGGGTGTGGAGGGGACACTGATGTGCAATGTAACCCTTATGTGAAGGAGGGGGCTCTGATGTACAATAAAACTTTGATTTGAAGCTGGGGGCTCTGATGTACAATAAAATGATGTGAAGGAAGGAGAATCTGGTGTGAAATATAACTCTGATATGAAGGAGAGAACTCTGATGTGAAATATAAACTGATATGAAAGAAAGGGTTCTGATGTGAAATGTAACTCTGATGTAAAGGGAGAGGACCCTGATGTGAAATGTAACTCTGATTTGAAGGAGAGGGACTCTGGTGTAACATAAAACTCTGATGTGAAGGAGGGTACTCTGATGAGAAATGTAAACCTGACGTGAAGGAGGAGACTCTGATGTAAAATAAAACTCTAATGTGAAGGAGGGGGCTCTGGTGTACAATAAAACTCTGATATGAAGGAGGGGACTCTGATGTACAATAAAACTCTGATATGACGGAGGGGACTCTGATGTACAATAAAACTCTGATATGAAGGAGGGGACTCTGATGTACAATAATACACTGCTGTGAAAGAGTGGACTCTAAAGCAAAATGTAACTCTGATGCGAAGGCAGGGGGTCTCTGATGGGAAATGTAACTCTGATGTGAAGGAGGGGACTCTGATTTAAAATAAAACTCTAATGTGAAGGAGGGAGCTCTTATGTACAATAAAACTGATTTGAAGGAAGGAACTCTGGTGTGAAATAGGACTCTGATGTGAAGGAAGGGGGCTCTGATGGGAATTGTAACGGATGTGAAGGGAGGGGGCTCTGATGGGAAACTTAGTTGTAACTCTGATGTGAAAGGATGGGGCTCTGATGGGAAATGTAACTGATGTGAAGGGAGGGGGCTCTGATGGGAAATGTAACTGATGTGAAGGGAGGGGGCTCTGATGGGAAATGTAACTGTACTCTGATGTGAAGGGATGGTGCTCTAATGGGAAATGTAACTGTAACTCTGATTTCAAGGGGGGCATCTGCTTTAATGGGGGGGGTCTTCTGATTTAAAGGTATTTCTTGGCATTGATTCCTTCATGTGTAAAATATACAATGTGTCCCTCATATTCAGGGCCGATTCTTCCACTCGGCAAAATAGGCAGCCGCCTAGGGTGCATTGCCACCTAGGGGTGTCTGGGCGCAGCACAGGCCAGCACTCTCTGTGTTGCCTATCTATGGACCTCTTGGATGACTTCTTCATTTCTCTGCAGAGTCCCCCACAGGGAATGATGAGGGAATAAAGGTATCTTTACTCTGCACAATTGTCTCACAGTCTGTCCACACACATGACCATTTAGTACAAAATCCTCGATGGACCCCACCTGTTTGAATAACTTAAGACCCTTCTCCCTGCTCCCATTTGCCTCCAAGCTTCTCGAGCACCTTGTTCACAACCATATGACTTGCTACCTCACCGTCAACAACCTTCTCGATCCTCTACAGCAGGGGTCTCCAAACTATGGCCCTTCAGCTCTTGAAGTACTACAAGTCCCATCATGCCTCTGCGAGTCTTGCCTGTGGCTTTCAGAGTCTTGCAAGGCCTCATGGGACTTGCAGTTCCTCAACACCTGGAGGGCCATAGTTTGGAAACCCCTGCTCTACAGTCTGGCTTCCGCCCACAACATTCCACTGAAACTGCCCTACTAAACCTCACGAACGACCTAATAACTGCTAAAACCAATGACCATTACTCTATACTCATACTCCTTGACCTTTCCGCTGCCTTTGACACAGTCGACCACCCGCTCCTCTCAGTAAACTCCATTCCCTTGGCCTCCGTGACTCTGCTCTCTCCTGGTTCTCCTCTTACCTTTCTCAGTGCACTTTCACGGTTACATACAACACCCTCTCCACTCCTTTTTCCGTTGGGGCACCCCAAGGCTTTGTACTTGGGTCCCTCCTTTTCTCTCTCTACACCACCTCCCTGGGCCAATTGATAACCTCCCGTGGCTTCCAATACCACCTCTATCAAATAATATAAAAACAAGAATATATATGCGCTGACTGCCAAAGGTAAAGCAGCTGACACAATTAGGAAGTATAAAGCCCAATGTAAATGAATATATATAAAGTGCAACGCTAAATAAACAAAGTGCAGTAATAATAAAAGAAATGCTTATAAATAAATGTCCATGTAAATTAAATAAATGAACAAATCCACAAAAATAATGTTCAATAAGTGTCCATCCACCGCCCTAAAGGAGTGTGCTTGATTGTAGACAGTATCCTTCAATAGTGAATAATGACCACCATCCCCTAGTGAATTGCAAACTCACCAGAGTTAGCTGCTGCTGCCACAGCAGCACAAACACCAATATAGCCAGGCAGGGACGTGCATATCTCGTTATAACAATCAATTAGTGAACCGCATCATCCACGTCCAGATTCTGGTGAAATAAAGCTCTCCAAGAGCATAAGATACTTCCAATAGTGTAGTATTTTAATGATAAAAGAGTGTGTATACACAATATTGCAAACAAACAAGAGCCAGCTTACATGTATGGCCACTGCTGACCCAGAATCGCACAGCAGCGTGACGTCAGCACTGTAATTCCTCCCCAACACGTTTCGTCCAATAGGACGAAATTCCAATTCACCAGAATCTGGACATGGAGGATGTGTTTCACTAATTGATTGATACACACTTCCCTGCCGGGCTATATTGGCGTTTGTGTTGCTGTAGTGGCAAAACTGGTGAGTTTGCAATTCACTGGGTAATGGTGGTGGTTATTCACTATTGAATGATACTGTCTACAATCAAGCACACTCCTTTATTTCCTCCTCCCTGATCCCCCACTCATGACTTTACCATTGAGATCAACAGCACAAGCATTGGTCCTTCCCCTCATGCCAGGGTGCTAGGTGTAATCCTAGACTTTGACCTTTCCTTCGTGCCCCACATCCGATCACTGGCTAAATTCTGCCACCTCAACCTCCACAACATTTCCAAAATCCGCCCCTTTCTGACCAATGATACCACAAAACAACTTATTCACGCCTTGGTTATATCCAGCCTCGATTACTGCAACTCCCTCCTCACTAGTCTACCGTTACACAGGCTTTCCCTCCTTCAGTCTATTGTGAATGCTGCTGCTAGACTCATACACCTTACCAACCGATCAGCGACTGCTGCCCCTCTCTGCCAATCCCTTCACTGGCTTCCACTAACCCAACGTATAAAATTCCAAACACCACGACATACAAAGCCATCCACAACACTGCTCCTAGCTACATCACCAACCTTATCTGCAGATATCGTCCAAATCGCCCGCTCCTCTCCTCCCAAGATATCTTGCTCTCCAGCTCCCTCATCACCTCCTCCCACGCTCACCTCCAGGACTTCTCCAGATATTGCAATTTATGAAAATAATAAAAAAATAAACAAATCATGCAAAGTGATAATGATGACAAGTGCCAACAACACTCATACAACCGTGTATATAAATTCAATAAATAATAAAAGTGCCAAGAAAAAAGTCCAAATGGGACCAATGAATCAATAGTGCCCAAAAAGATCATAATTGGATCTAAAGGTGATGTAATCTCCTGATCGTGTATGAGCTCAGGCTTGTTTGGACACAACTCATTGACGTGAGCTATCCTGCCAGGAAGCTGTCAAAGTGGACAACTCAACCCTACTGCTAATGGAATAATTGGCCACTAATTGCATACCTGCCTGGAGAGGAGATCTACTGTCATTGAGCCTATACTTGAGGGGAGACCATTGTGGGGAGAGTGACCAGATTTTGGAGGAGTTCCATACATGGAGGATCCATTGTAGAGATCCTAAAGGTGTTTTGGCCCTGTGCTGGTTGAGACAAGGAGGTGAGCGGGCATTGCAGCCATTTTTGGATACCTTCCTGGCACCTGATATTACCTATTATTCACTGGCACAAGGGTTTTTTGTGTTTAGTATACGAATTTTAGTGGTATGCATTTTTTCTGTGTTTTGATGCACGTTATGTTTATTTGTATGTGATCATTTGTCATGTATAATCACGCATGCACCGATTAGGTGTGTTTTGTTAGTTTCGTGTGTCACATTGTTTGCTTTTTTATGTGGGTTTGGGAATTTATGCCACCAGTGTATTTTCTTGGGGTTTTTTTTTAGCACTTTTTATGTGCAGTCTTATTTTGGACTCCTTGTCATACAGTTTATTTTTTACATCACCTTTTAGATCCAATTAGGATCTTTTTGGGCACTATTGATTCATTGGTCCCATTTGGACTTTTTTCTTGGCATTTTTATTATTTATTGAATTTATACACACGGTTGTGTGAGTGTTGTTGGCACTTGTCATCATTATCACTTTGAATGATTTGTTTATTTTTTTTATTATTTTCATATATTGCAATATCTTTTTGTATTCATGTTTGTGGGTTTCACATTGTATTAACGCCACATCATTGTTTGTATTATTCACATATAGATTATCAGGTATATGATTGGATGTTGGCAGCTGTACCTCATATATTAATATTATAGGGACTTAGTTTGGAGCGCAGGAGGTTCTTCACTCTTTTTAGGACTTCTACAGAGCCTCTCCCATCCTCTGGA